CTTTGGAATTGGAATGTAAACTGACCTTTTCCAATCCTGTGGCCACTGTTGAGTTTTCCAAATTTGCTGGCAAATTGAGTGTAGCACTTTTACTGCATCGTCTTTTAAGATTTTGAATAGCTCAGCTGGAATACTGTCACCTCCACTAGCTTTGTTGTTGCTCAGATTTTCTAAGGCCCATTTCACTTCACATTCTAGGATGTCTGGTTCGAGGTCAGTGACCATCTCATTGTGGTTATCTGGGATGTTAAGCTCATTCTTGTATAGTTCTTCTGTGTAGTTTTGCCATCTCTTCTTAATCTCTTCTGCCTCTGTTAGGTCTCTGCCATTTTGGTCCTTTATCATGCCCATCTTTGCATGAAACGTTCCCTTCATATCTCCAATTTTCTTGAAGAGATCTCTGGTCCTCCCTATTCTGTTGTTTTCTTCTATTTCTTTGCACTGTTCATTTAAGAAGGCATTCTTATCTCTTCTAGCTACTCTCTGGAATTCTGCATTCAATTGGGTGTATCTTTCTCTTTCTCCTTTGCCTTTCGCTTCCCTTCTTTCCTCAGCTATTTGCAAAGCTTCCTCAGACAGCCATTTTGCTTTCTTGCATTTCTTTTTCTTTGGGATGGTTTTAGTTGCTACCTCTTGTACAATGTTGCGAACTTCCATCCATAGTTCTTCAGGCACTCTGTCTATCAGATCCAGTTCCTTAAATCTATTTGTCACCTCTACTGTATATTCATCAGGAATATGATTTAGTTCATACCTGAGTGGCCTAGTGCTTTTCCCTACTTTTTTCAATTTAAGCCTAAATTTTGCAACGAGAAGCTCATGATCTGAGCCACAGTCAGCTCCTGGTCTTGTTTTTACTGACTGTATAGAGCTTCTCCATCTTTGGCTGCAGAGCACATAGTCAATCTGATTTCTATGTTGACCGTCTGGTGATGTCCATGTGTAGAGCCGTCTCTTGGGTTGTTGGAAAAGAGTGTTTGTTATGACCATCGTATTCTCTTGACAAAATTCTATTAGCCTGTGCCCTGCTTCATTTTGTACTCCAAGGCCAAACTTGCCTGTTATTCCGGTTATCTTTTGGCTTCCTACCTTAGCATTCCAATCCCCCATGATGATAAGGACATCATTTTTTGGTGTTAATTCTATAAGGTGCTGTAGGGCTTCATAGAACCGGTCAATTTCATCCTCTTCAGCACCAGTGGTTGGGGCATAGATTTGGACTATTGTGATATTGAATGGTTTGCCTTGGATTCGAATTGAGATCATTCTGTCATTTTGGGGATTGTATCCCAGTATTGCTTTTCCTATTCTTTTATTGACTATGAAGGCTACTCCATTTCTTCTGAGGGATTCTTGCCCACAGTAGTATACCTGATGGTCATCTGAGTTAAATTCACCCATTCCTGTCCATTTTAGTTCGCTGATTCCTAAGATGTCGATGTTCAGTCTTGTCATCTCTTTTTTGACTACGTCTAGCTTGCCTTGATTCATGGATCTTACATTCCAGGTTCCTATGGAGAAAAAATCTTTACAGCATCGGACTTTCCTTTCACCACCAGATATATCCACAGCTGAGCGTCCTTTCGGCTTTGGCCCAGTCGCTTCATTCTTTCTGGCGCTACTAGTACTAGCCCTCTGCTCTTCCCCAGTAGCATATTGGACACCTTCCGACCTGAGGGGCTCATCTTCCAGCGTCATATCTTTTTTCCTTTTAGTACTGTCCATGGGGTTTTCATGGCAAAGATACTGGAGTGGTTTGCCATTTCCTTCTCCAGTGGATCACATTTTGTCAGAACTCTCTGCTATAACCTGTCCGTCTTGGGTGGCCCTGCACGGCATAGCTTATAGCTTCATTGAGTTACGCAAGCCCCTTCACCACGACAAGGCAGTAATCCATAAAGGGGGCATACATTACTATACCTCGTTAATGGTTTGTTTCACCTGGAAATTCCTTTGCTATATCCATATCTTCTGTCATGGCCTGGGGGGGGCGGGCATGGTATAGTTGGAAGTTGTAATCCAGGACATCTGGAGACTACCAGGTTGAAGAAGTTGGTTCTAACTTTATGGTAGCATTGTTTATTAGTGTTGATGTATATATATTAGCCCTAAAAGTCACATGTCTTTCTGTTTTTGGAGATAGAGCTTCTGTGTTAGAATTAAATTCCAGCTAATGACCTCTAACAACTTTCACTAAAACAGTGGAACAATATAGGGTGAAAAGTTAACTTCCTTCAAATCGAGATTATTTCTAATGATTTAATGGACACATTCATGTGGTTGTCTTGGGAACAATATGGAAGTCTAAAAGTGCATCTGGCTTTGGAGAAATTACATTAACAAGAAACTTATATTAAGTAATTGCCTATGTTGTAAGGTTCATTTCTGCAGCTCTTGTGTGTAGAATAACAGGTGAAGTGTTGAACAATCAATAGGCAGAGAGGAATTATGGAGATCAAATGCACAAACACACAATACCATTTGGCTTTGCTTATATGACACATTTAACTGAGACTCTAGTGGGGGTTATTGTGTTGTGGCAGTAGATTGACCTATCCAACTAAACCAAACTAAATGAGTTATGTTTAGCCTAAACAAATCCATTCTTGCATTGAATTAAACAACCTCCAACAATTGGCCATATCATGAGAACTGCTGAATATAGGATTAATTAACCCTGACTTCCTCTAACTCAAGCTGAAGTTGTTGAGGTTCCATGGAAGTAAATTTTTGCTAGGCATACATTGTTTCAGCATCTCTTCCATGCAATCACATGCAACAGGGAGTGGAAAGTAAGCAAAACCTATGGGAAGTAAGATCGCCTCCCTAGACCTGTCTAGGATAATGATGTCTTTGAGCCACTCAGAAGTTGAAGTTGGGCAGGATCAGAACTGAATGAATAAACAAACAAGCAAACAAAGAAACAAAAATCATTCTAGCTTAGAGGATAAATGAGGAGTCGGGCAGACAGCTTTCCAGATCCTTTGTGATGACTGAGAAATGGACAGCCATTTGTCCGAAATGGTAGGGCTTTTGATCTCATAGAACGCCCAGAACGGAGTTCTGGCACCTTTTTTGGATGGAACCTTGTAGAGTAGGCAAGGCGGATTGTATGACATGTGTGAGTTCTGGCACCTTTTTTTTTTTTTTTAGAAAAAAATCACTGCGAAATGGTATAGGGTTACCTGCCTGAACAGGGGGTTGGACTTGATGACCTCCAAGTCCCTTCCAACTTTTTGATGATGATGATGTCTGTAAAAACAGGCCAGAGCATTCCCATTTGTGTGCTGCCTGTGCATAAAAGTTTCTGTGGTGCCTGGGAAATGGCTAGTTGCTTGTGTAGTACATAACTACCAGAAAATTCAGATTTAATACAAAAGTCTGGATCAGATTCAGTGGAAATTAGAAAAACCCTCTTTGCTGCCATCAAGTGATCATGCTGGTTTTTGCAGTCCAGATTTGCTAGCAGTAGGCAGAAAAGGGGCCTTAATATTGTATGCATGACTGGATAACCTGAAGCGTATTGTTACGTTCTCAGTTTTGAAAAATATTATTTATGAGGTCCATTTAATTTTCTATTCTTGTGCAATAGTTATCTGCAATCAATATACAATGTATATTTCCATAGAGTCAAAGAATTCCATAATTTTCCATTCAAGGCAACATATGTATGTTTTAGGCAACCAGTATCTATATGGCAACTGGCATTTAATTCAGAAGTAGTCCATGATATTAAAGAGGAACCAGATGTTTCATCCTAAGGCTGTTTGTTCTTACTCAAATCACACCCAAGTTCCTTTTTCCACAACTGTATGACCATAAGACAGCATGAGTTCTTTAAAAAGTATAGATTCTCTTCCTCTTTGGGGGGGGGGAACTAATATACATGAAACCAGTGTGGGAAGTCAGCCGCCCCCCGAAGGAAAGAAATATTTTTGGAAATATTAAAAGGCAGAATATTATATCTCCCCAAAGGATCTTAAAGGCAGAAACCAATATACACCCCCAAGTCTCTCTGCCCCAAACAGAAACCAGGTCTGCAGAAATGCAGATGTGATAACCTTGTCAGAAAGATTGGAGTCAGGAAGCTTGGATTAGAACAGTGGTTCTCAACCTTTTTAATGCCGCGACCCCCAACCAGTTGTAAGTCGAGGACTACTCAACCGGTCGTAAGTCGAGGACTACTCAACTGGTGCAGCACCGTTTGCAGAATGGGACTTTTGGCGGGCTCAGCAGGGCAGAGACAGCCTGGACAATTCCTATTGGCTTTTGAAAGCCAATAGAATTAGACTCTATTCAAGAGAGTCTATTCTATTGGCTTTCAAAAGCCAATAGAATAAAAGGGAGTAGCACAGCTAAGGAAAAGGGGGAAAAAATGGCGGACTGCGTTGTTTGGCGACCCCCGTGAAATGGTCGTTCAACCGCAAATGGGGTCCCGACCCACAGGTTGAGAACCACTGGATTAGAAAGACAAAGATCCCTAGAATCAACAATCCCTCACACCAAAAAATCCAATAATCATCAGCCACAGCCAAAGGGAAGCAGGATATGACCTTTGGGACATAATAATATTAATCCACCACCATCAAAATACCAGAAAGGCACACTCAGACTCAGGTCAAAGTTTATGCCACAGGAACAACTCCAAATAAAAGTTCAAGAAGGTATAAAAACCCACCACTCCCTACTACATGTGATCAGATTTCCCAGAGCCATCTTTCTGTCTGGCTCTCCTCATTAATAAATTACAACTTTCCTTCTAAAGCAGTCTCCATTTTGTTTATTCCCAGCTTGGACTGGACACTGATGAAGATTTTTCTTTCTACGCCAGCATATTTGTATGTCTCCATTTTACAGCCTGTATCTAATGCATGTGTCATCCTTTGCCCTGGATTATCCATTAGAGGTTGATCAGAGGGAATTGAGGGCTCAGCAAAACTATAGCTACTTCTCTTGAATGTGTGCACAGGAAAGATATCTATGAGCTGAAAAAAACTAACCTTAAAAATTGTGCTGAACTATATTGTTCTTGATCAAACATGTCAAACTCGCGACTTCACGTGACGTTGTGCAACGTATCAGGACAGTTTTGCCTTTGCTGGCAATGGAGTGGGTGCAGCTTCTGCGTGACACATCCAGCCCACGGGCCAGCAGTTTGACACCCCTGTTCTTGATGATCTAGAAAATAAATATTTTGGCAGAACAAGATGGAGCAATTACTTTTATTTTAAAAAATGTACAATTCTTACCATTGTGTTTTTAATTTAGCCTTTGTAAACAAGCGCTCATATTAATTCTCAAACTCCATCCAACTTTTGTTATGTTGAGTACTTAACATTGATATTAGGAACATGTGAAGAACCGAAAAAGCCAGTATTCAAAGTTATGACAAAGATAACAGCAAAAACAAGGTAATCTTGAGAAGACTTGGGAAGTTACCAAGTGAAATACTATTGCTTTTTGATAAGTTGGAGCATCTCATGAAAGTGTCCTATAACCAGTCTGGCCACAAAAACACCTGGTGTCAGCTTTCTGAATTTGAATGGTAATAATTTTGCAAAGCCTGAGAGTCTTTGGCTTAAAACTGGGGCTTTCTGCAAGCAGAACAGCTTCACTGTGCTCAGTCCACAGTTCTGGACAATGAACAACAGGTTTTATCTTTCAGAAAAGTATTGGGACACTTAGGGCTTGATTGGCTGGCACAGATTCATGGATCTGATAATCCATGGTCTCCCAACTGTTCCCACTACAGTTTCAAGGAAATCTCACCAAACTGGTGGTGGTGGTGGTGGTGTGTGCGTGTGTGTGTGTAGGAAATGGGAGTATTGCAGAGTAAAGGCCTAGAAAGTTTTCAATAACACATTCAGTCCCCTTACTAGGATCTAGACAGATACAGGGACCCAAGAAGGAAACTGGTATTGCTGTTATCACTATCCATCCAATAAGAATTAAAAGGGGGAAATGGGGTTGCAGGGAAGGAAGATCCATTCATTTTCTTCTGAAGTGCCAGGAAGGGAGACTCCTTTTATTTCTTTTAAAATAAGAGAACCATGGCTGTGCAATTCCACAGAGAGAGTTGTGATGCTGGCTTTCCCCAGGTGGCAAGTTGCCTAGCTCCATTCAATCCTGACAGTGCCATTGTATGAAAGGTAAGCTGAACTGTGTGTATACAAACAAGGAGGGCAGGTATGTGTGTGTGGGGGGGATATGTCTTGTTAAGAAATCTCTGGATTAGTCATGTGAACACAAATGTGTCAGCAATATGAGCTTGTTTCAGATCACCAAATACAATTTGGTGTTCCATGCGTAGAAATATAAAATAACAGACACGTGGGGAAAATCTATTTTTTATTTTTATTCTTCAGACTAGAAATGGAGTACAGCATTTAATTGGAAGTTCAATTTTCAAAGAAAGACAAACTAAAAGGATATAATGAAATATATGCACCATGATGAATGATGGAGATTCAAGGACTGGGAAATTATTTTGTCTTGGAAATGGAGATGCAAGTGAATAACCCACTTAGGGAAATTTGTGAGTTGCAGATAGCGATGAATGAGATTATGAACATCAGAAAAAGCTAGCTTGGATAGTGCAAATGTTGCCTCATCATAGGACCTTGAGCTAAGTGTAAATTATCTTTTCAAGTCATCTGCTGCTGTGATCTTGATCACTAATCTGCATGTTCAGAACAAGCCCAAGATATTATCCTTATTTTAAAATAAAGGGATGAAATCCCATATCCAAATGCTTCCCCAATGTTAAAAAAAGTCCCTGCAATTAGAAAAAGATTAGATTAAAAATGTTTATCTGGCATGGTATGCTACTTTAATGTACATTCTAAAATTGCACTTAAATTGAGCATTACAGTAATTGAGCATTACAGTAATTGAAGATTATAGTTATTCCAGCCTTATAATTCTGAAATCATACAAGGCCACTTCCAAGATATCTTGATTAGACACATCCTTTTTCTAAACCAGCATTCTTGTCAAATTTTAAGAAGCATTTTTGAAACACTTCCATTTTTAATTAGGGTGAAATGATTGAGTAAAAAAAAAAAAATACAAAAAAGATTTCCTGTTTAGGAAATGCAATTTCATCGCCTACAAATACTAACTGCCTTAACGATACACTCCAAAGTATTTTCAAAGCATACAGTCTAGATTACGGGTGTCAAACTCGATCACCTCACTTGATATTTTTTTGCCTTTGCAAAGCCGGGATGAGCGTGGCCTCCCCATGATGCATCAGGCCCACGGACTGCCAGTTTGACACCCCTGGTCTAGATCAAATATGGATTCAAGAGATATCAGACGCCAATAAAAATGATCAATCGCTGGGTTTTTTCCAAGACAGTTATTAATTGGTCATTCAAATGCAACTCCTACAGTATTCGGGTTGCAGGTATATTAAATAGCTGTGTGAAGGAATGGCAAAAGCATGCTTGGACGTGGCCCACAGCATTGAAAGCTCTTCGAGGTGAAGCTTTTGTCATTTCTTTTATCTTTTACATTACCTTGGAGGATAGGGAGGCATCCAAATTTTCTGAGGAGCAGAACTGGGAGCAGTCTACCTGAAATGATCTTCAGACATTGTGACAATCGTTTTTAGTCAAAGGTTTTCCAGTGCCATACCATCTCAAAGAAGAGGGAAGTTTGACTCATTGCAGAACTGCAAAAGGCAACAGGTGAGAACTCTCAGCAATGATCAGCAGTGTGGCTGCAACCTTGAAAAGCTGAAAAGCTTGGCCCTGTTTTTATGCTATGGAAACTTCCAAGAAGGGAATTCACACATTTCTGAAGTTTAAAACATGAAGTTTAGCTCTAAAGAAAGAACTGTGGAGCTCAAATCAAATAGAAGCAGGGTGATTTCTTTATAAAAAGGCATTAGCCTTTGGAAATTAAAAGAGAATCCCTACCACCACACATGCACACACATCCTTGGATTTTTGTTTAGTTGGTTTTGACTCTTGGCAGCATCATACAGAAATATCACTGACCAAATTTATGAAGTTCATAATCCATGTCATTCAGTTATATTTGGGTGAGTTGCTATATAAACAAACATCTTCTGCTTGGCTACTTGTGATGCTTTGTGCATTTCCACTCCCCATTCTATTAAAAGTAGATTCTCTTCACCACTTCCAACCTCAATATGTTGCGAATAAGAGCACAGCCGCTTCTTCATTGATTCACTTCCATTGTGGCAGCAATTGGAACTCCCCACAGTCTCAAACCCCAAACCCCTATAAGTTGAAATTAAATGAAATCTCTTGAACAGATCCCAATGCACCACACAAGGCATTATCCCATAGAACAATAGAGTTGGAAGGGACCTTGGAGGTTTTCTAGATACATACAATGTGTAGACCTTGGAGGTCTCTACAAAGTTGAAAGCCTCACTTTCTCTTGGAAAAATCTGCTAGTGTTAGAAGATAGAGTGAGACAAATGATGGAACAGACTACTTACAAAACTCAGTGTTTCAAAGAAAATTGCTAGTTTTACTTGATTCTGATTACCATAGTATTTGGCACCAGAAATAAACAAGTGTCAACACACAGTCAATATTGTGAGGCCACATCCAGGATTGTTCTGAAGTGGCTCACAGAAGTCTCCTCAAAAACCCAAATTAAATACTGGATTCCATAAAGAAATAACAAGGATATCTATTTTAAATGAAAGTTATTCTCTTCTGCTTTAAGGGATTTCTGCAAAAATACTAGCAGCATTGGCTGAACTTCCAGCTCAGCTCAGGATGGTGTCTATGGAAGATCAGAGAATGGAAAGCAAGCAAAGACAAATGGAAGAAAAGTCTCTCTGCTTAGCAAGGAGGAAATAAAAAAAAAAGAGAAGCACAATATGGGTACCTCTGAAATTTAAAAACTATTGGTGCCCCAGTTAGTGAAAAAACATAACCAGCAAAGTGATCAAAATAAAAGAGCTCTTTCAAAGCTCTGGTTTATAAGTAGCTCTACTTATGGTAACGGTTTTTAAAAAGTATTATTTAAAAAATATATGTTCATAGCATAGCATGATAATACACGTAGTCCTCAACTTACAACAAGTTCATTTAATAACTGTTCAAAGTTACAACGGCAGTGAAAATAGTGACTTATGACCATTTTTCACATTTTCAATTTTTGTAGCATTCCCCATGATCACATGATCAAAATTCAGATGCTTGGCAACTGACTCATACTTATGACCATTACTGTGTCCCAAGGTCACCTTTTGCAATCTTTTGACAAGCAAAATCAACAGGGAAGCCGGATTCACTTAACAACCGTGTTACTAACTTATCAACTGCAATGATTCACTTAGCAACTGTGGCAAGGAAGGTCATAAAATGGGGCAAAAACTCACTTAACAAATGTCTCACTTTGCCACAGAAATTCTGGGTTCAACTGTGGTCCTAAGTGAAGGACTCGCTGTATTATCAATTGTCTTTGTTGTTTACTCCACAGAAAAGTTTGCATCAATGTAGGACAAAGCTTCTGTATTGCATCCTCAGTCTACAGTTCTCACCCTGCATGTTGACAATTTGATGCTGAGTTTCCTACGCTGAACCTTCCCCATCCAGCTCCCATTAGAAAGCCTCCAGCAGGAGAGAATCTACTACTGCTCTTGGCAAACAATTCCACTGCTTAACAGCTCACCATCAAATTCATCCTAATACTCAGCCTGAATCACCTTTCTTTAGATTTCAGCCCTTTGGTCCTTGACATACTCCCAGTTTCAACAAACAGCAGGTTGTACATGTGGCAACCTTTTAGATGTTTGTACACTCTTATCAGCAATCAGTCTTCCCCTTTTGCAAGCTAAACATGTCTTCTTTTTCAATCATTCCTAGTAGGGCATGGGGTAAAGACAGAGGGACTAAAATGATACTGTGGCATCAAGGTGCAACATCATAATTCATGCAAAACAGCCGTGGGGTTATGTGTCACATCAGCACAATGTTAGTTTCATCAGGCTGACCCCACCTTTTGCCTTGCACTGCAGATATTGCTTTTCCATGTCCTTTTTAAAGTGTGATGTTTCTTGAGTTTTCTGGTACTTGCCCCTGGACTCAGTACTCTAAGTATGGTCGAACCACTGCAGAAGACCAGAAAAAGAAATCATACTAACAGTAGAGTCTCTTTTCACTTTCATCTTAGTCCCTTGTGACTTCATGGATGTATTATGTAGCTTTATTCACAAGAATGTCAAAATGGATTGCTATCTTTTGAAAGATCATTCTTATCTCTAGTATGTTTATGACTCAGTTCTGGATAAGAAGGAAAAGCTGCTTGGGACTGTCATGCTTAGGATTGCTTAGGATTGTCACGTTAGGGCAGTCTTAGGACTGTCGTGTTAGGGCAGTCTTCCACAAACCATCCTCCTCCTGAGAAGATGAAATAAAATTCTCATAACTCTATTCCAGTATATTCATTGGGCTGCTACCTGGGGTAGTAGAAATTGTTGCATGACACACTAAATAATTTAGTGCTTAACACTACTTTGGGAGCGAATTTCCAAGCCCATGTGGCCAAAAGAACGGTGAAATATCTTAAGCTACTTTGGCCTACCTATCCATATAATAGGCTCATTTCAACCTCTTTAACTCCCATTGTGATTTATTCTTCTTCATGTCTTCATTTTTCTTCATTTTGAGGGGGGAAAGAATACATCCCTAATTATCGGTCTCTTGTCTGCTGTAATTTTGCTTCCACTGCAGGATTAATTCTTTGCAAGAAGGAATTCTTTCCTCTGAATTAATTTATTATTCTTTTGTTGCTCTAAAAACCTAAGAATCAGTGGGAACATGGATAACTTTTTTTTTTTAAAGGATACATTGTGTTATGCAAACAGATCTGGATAGAATATTGCGAGGAACGTTTGGAAGACACTGGAGCAAAGATCTTTCTCCACCCGCCTTCCCCAGTTGGGAACCGCTACTCACTGTAGACACTCCACTGAACTGATTGCAGACCTTGGGATTTGCTCTGTTTATATGACTTGCTCAATCTCCTATTGCTCATTGGTCCAGTCATTTGGAAAGTATGGAACTGACCCATAGGGAATTATAGAGCGGTGTCATGTTGGTCTCTATTGCCTTTCCCAGCCCGATGTTTGTTTTGAATTTCTTTGCCACAACATCTGTCCCACATCATGGAATGATTTAATAATTTGGAACCTGTAGCAAATACCAAGATATTTACTAGTTACTGCTGCTTTTTCTCCTCCTTTTGGGGCTTCCAAAAAAAGACATTGGGTACTTTGCTTGTTCTGTTCTGTGCTCATGCTGCCTTTATTCAATTGTTTATATCAGCCTGTGTCAGAATGTGCCTCAAGACCATTTTTTGTCTCTTCTACATAAGGTCTATTTCCACCTGTGGCACTTTTTGGATCCACTGTAGATATTTCCAAAAGATGTTAACTGACATTCCAAAACTTATAAAATGGGCATTTCAGAATCTGTAGCAATATTTTTTTTTCAGCAAATCCAGAGCTCTGAAGTGGTCTTTCTACCAACAAATGACTTCATTTCCTTTTGGGGGAAAAGAATAACAGTTGGCCTCAGCATCTGTCCATTCCCACAACCAAGTACTGAGACATTTGAGGTCCCCGTGAGAATAGATGTCAAAGGACAGAACTGTGAAACTGTGTATACAGTGAGGCCTTTTGAATGCTTTTTTGGCAAACGTTTAGTTCTAGGAAGTTGCTGTCAGTTTTTATTCCAAAGTTTTAAAAAATAACAAGGCTAAATCCATAGAAATGCCTACAAGGAGATAGATATACATGCAGATATATATATTGAATTATTGGGACTGGACAGTAGCAGAGCTGCTCATGAAATCCCCTTTCACAGTTCCCACGGATTGTGTCCTGTAGCTAGACTGGGACAAAAAAGTCCTCTAGTTTTCTGTGAGTCATATTTAATCAGGGAAAAATAAGGCACAGCTCCTGCTACTCCACATGTAGCCTAGAAACCCACATATGCAATAGTTCAAATGTTCATCATAGAAGCACCAACCATTATACCACCCAGGAACTTATTACATGTAGTCCTACCGGTGTGCTAAAGCTGCTTTCTGTATCTCTATATCTGATCGGTTTAGGGATCATTCTGATACGATTTGGTTTGGAGCTGTGCGTGTTTTATACGGCCACATTGTTTAGTTTCTAAATGCCAGTTGATGCCCAGAAGCCAGTGTTTTATTTGCAGGAAGAGATGTGTGGAATCTCAAGCCTGCCTGGAAACTTTACTCTTTGACCTTGGTAAACTAAAGTTCAGTGAATCAGTAGTAAGGCAACTGCATATTATCTAGTCCCCATGTGCTAACCAAATACAGACTGCCCAGCTGAGCCAAATCACCCCATGTGCCTTGTCCTCCCGAGCAGCAGCAGCAGCTAGCATTTGATCTGAGCGGTAGATAGCTAAGCCTCTAATGTTGAAACCAACAGAAATCCACTATTCAGCTACTGAAAAAGAGGATCATTAATGGTACAATGTGTCAGTTTAATATTTTAACTAGAGCAGTTCACCCGTTGTATGCAATGCGTGGACTTGAAAATCTTGCCCTGATAGATTTATATAGCCCCTTGGCATGAGACTCCTAAGGATATGCTTTGGGTGATATCATCTCCTGGAAGGACACTAACTGCCAAGAAATAGCATAAGGAATAAA